GCAGTTCAGCGGTTCTAATCTCACCGGCTCAAGGTTGACTCAGCCTTCCATCCTTCTGAGGTGGGTGAAATGAGGACCCAGGCTGTGGGGGCGATATGCTGATTCTGTAAACCGCTTAGAGAGGGCTGAAAGCCCTATGAAGCGGTATATAAGTCTTATTGCTATTGCCATTTATGCCCTTTTTTTGAAAAAAAAATGGGCCCGTTTTCACAAAAAAACGGGCCATTTTTGGAAAGTTTGCACAGTGCAAAAACTTTTTTAAAATTTGCCTCTTCAAAACCTTGGTGTGTCTTATACTCCAAAAAATATGGCAATTACTTCTCAAACATACCTTGGAGGCACTGTTTCAGTCAAATACCAAGTTCTCCTATTTCTAAAAATCAATCCTGCATGACCAAAGATACAACTTGCTTGCAACAAAGTCTTATAGGGAGAATATACTGGCAGAGCTTTAACCTGTCATAAATTCTTGTGCTTTTTGCTATGGTGAGGTAACACGGTAAGCCCTCTCAGTTGGGGTCTCGCTGTGTTCTTTCCAGAATTATCATCTGACAAACCTAAGTAATATTTACCAGATTTTCAGACAAATGAAAGTGACAGGTTGCTGGGTGAGATAAATAATCCATTCAAGTTTTGCTTTATAAAAATCTCTGCAGAATTGTGATTTGTACAAAATAAACAGATATAGAATTCTGGGAGGGGAAATTTCAAGGTTTTGCTTGCTGATAAATTATATTAACCTTACTTTGGGCTTAAACTTTAGTGTTTGAATTTTATTCTGTAAAATGCCTGAAATGACACCAGGTTTTGGCAACTGTGTTCATACATTGTTCCAAGGAATGCAAAAGAAAAAGAAAAATGTTGGGGTGAACTCATGAGCTGCCTGCAACACTTGGCCTCAGGTTGCCCATTTCCGGAATTAAACCATGATTTAAGACACAGTGATTGTACAACATCCTAGATGTGCATTATTTATACTATATATCATGAGATGTGGACAACAGTATGTTTACTTGTAAGATAGTGTCTAGAATCGAGATCCCTTTTGCTTAAAGTAATATGAACGTGTTTGTGCCAAATAGACCAAAATCATCTAATACTGTTTTATGGTATTATTACAGTATTATTATTACAGTATTATATTGACCATAGTATGCATGCGAATTCATAGGAGAAGGCAATGGTGCTGGGAATAGTTAGTAGACAAAGAAGGGGCAAGGAAAGAACACGCTGGCTTAATAACATCAAATCTGATGCAAAACAACATACAATTGAAAGAAGTTGTGTTTGGTAGAAGAGCATGGAGAGTACTTGCCTATAGAGTCATCAAATGTCAGGCATGAGTAAATAATTACAAACAAACAAACAAACAAAC